AAAAATGCTCATAATCACTTTTTGATCCAATTAGAGTACGTTTTAGGCCATTTCAAGCATTTCGAGATTTTTGCGCGGGCACACCTTTGCGCGCGCATAAATTTGCGCGCGCGTTTGTGTTCGTTATGGTCTTACGCAACCCAGAATCGCCTTTTTTGTCTATCATAGTATTGCCCATTTTATTCCGAACAATTTGATACCATGTTTATCTCTTTATGACCATTAATAACGAAATGAGCGTCAGTTTAAGGTAAACGTCTGTGCGTGCAAGCTCTTGTAATACATAGCATATATGGGCAAAAACATGCCTATACGAAATACATTATTAACTGTATAGAAAAAAATATTATGGCTCGATCTGAAAAGTCAACGGCAAAATGCGTGTGAAACTAGTGAGCAATAATTGACCCAGTTGTACATTTCATCGCGCACCAGCTGCTGGTGACAATGACAATGTATATTACGTGTATAACAAAATGCGCACTATGCCCGAACTCCATTGTGACGTAACAATCACACCCTAGGCAAACTGATTGCAGTGTATCGAAAATTCGTCAGCATATTTTTGGAAAATTGATTGTATTTCTGTAAATGTTGATTAATTTTCTTCCAAATTTTGATATGTTTTAGCTGAGACAATTTTCAACAAATGTCGTTGCCACGATTTTTCATTTTGACAAAAGCATCATGGCGTATTTTTGCGATTAAAGGAGGCATGTCAATTTTTCACATTTTGCGTGTATTCTCTATGGGACATGACTTTTTCTAAAATCTGGATTCTACATTCCTCTCTTTTGCGAGCAATATATCGACATTATTTCTGCTTGGATTATGTTGATTTTCGAGTATGTTGTAGCTGAGACTATATGTTATCTAAATCACCCCACATTCTTCCAATAGGATTCGAGGATCACGCTCATGATCATCATCATTGTCTTAATGATGATGATTCTTGTCTCTCGCGAGCAATATCTCCGTCGTTTTATTTTCGTTTACGCTGAGCTTTGAGTATGTTGTAGCTGAGACAATGAGCTATCACAAGTGTGCCATTTATTTCTCGATCAGATGCCGGGATCATGCTCATATTTCACTTACAAAGTGGGATTTGAGAAATCAATCTTTCTTTTACGTGTACTCTCTATGGGAAATGTTTTAGTCTACCGGTAATGCACTTGACTTCCGACCTCGAGGTCCCTGGTTCGAGTCTGGGCGTCTCCAACAATTTTTTTCTTCACTTTTTTTTGGACCTTTTACTGTACCATCTCCTTTGAATATTAAAACACGTACAATCGCAAATAATGTAATAAACAACCATATTTACTTTATTATTACCCTATTATCACTTGATCCATTACTTTTTGCGAGCAATATCGCCGTTATTTCAGCTTGATTTTTGTTGATTGTTAAGTATGTTGTAGCTGAGACTATATGCTATATAAATATCCCCTCACTTTTTTTGCAATCAGATGTCAAGATCACGCTCATGATCATCATCATCATCATTTTCATTATCGTCATCATGACAATCATGATCATGATCAAGTAGTTAATTTCTCAATACTTTGTGTCATATTCATTAGGCCTACTTATTTTGATATTTTTTTCCCATTAAATTTAATCACGATCATCAACAATCATTATAATTTCTAAATATTTCGTTCATCAGTTTAGCTCATCAGTTTAGTTCAGTTCATAAGTTTATCCGTTTAGCTCATGAATTCAGTTCATTTCACATCAGTTTAATCTATCAGTTCATCAGTTCATCAGTACTTCATGAAGACAGACCACCTAATTCGTCCCCATGACGAATTAAATTTCTAGTTTATTTTTATTTCTTCCCGTTTTTTGTTTATCGGTTAATTCAAGATCGGTTGTGTTAATTTCTTTCAATTTCGACACAGTCATAGGTCATTGTCATGAGACGTGACAGTAACCTTTTCAAGGTCATCAGGTCATCGTGACGTCATCCAGGCGCCATTTTGTGAAATCACGTTATCCATCATATCTTCATGATGCATAAGCAAAGGTCATTCATATTCATATCACATATACCTCAGGTCAAGGGTCAACAAGTCATGTCATCAAAGGTCACATAAAGGTCATTACGCGCACGTACGCGCGCGTCAAAATTTAAAAATGCTCAAAATCACTTAACTATTAAACGAGAGTACGAATCAGGTCATTTTAAGCATTTCAAAATTTTCCGTCCGTAAGTGTCACCGCGCGCGTTTCGCGCGCTCATAACGCGCGGAAAAGGTCAAATTCAAATTGTTTACATGATTTGGATTCCTCTTAACGTAATTGACAATTTACATTAATTTCAGTCACTCTTCATTTTTCATAAGGCCATGAGCGTGCGTCAAAGTTTAAAATCCGCGCGTACTGCTATGGGCAATATAGTGCAAATTTGATCAAAAACATGCCATTTTAAAAATCGAAATAGCTCTTCAGATAGTCCATTGACCCCCAATTTTTATATCATGGTTAGAGAAAGCATGAGTTGGAGATATGATTTCATACCACCCTGACTCGTACAAAGTGAAATAAAGTCATCATATTGGCATCTAAACTCAAACAAATGTATTTTGTTGATGACGTCATTTTTGTCTTTGTTTAATTGAGATTATCTCACTTCTCGGTAATCGATTTTCTCCCAGATTTTGATATGTAGTAGCTGAGATAATTCTCTATCAGAAATATGATATTTATTTTTCATTTAGATGACGTCATCATAGTTAAATATTCCATTAAAGGCGACAATGCATAATTTGTCATATTTGCGTGTTATGTCTATGGGAGGTCACTTTTTTCAAAACATGCATCTGCATGACAATGTGTTTTGACCAGTATCTCGGTTATTATTCAACAGTTTTCTCCCAAATTTTAGTATGTTGTAGCTGAGACTATTTGCTATCTAAATATTTCCTCATATTTTCAATCAGATGTCAGGATCATGTTCATACTCATCATCGTCATCATCATCATCAATATCATCATTATCATCATCATCATCAATGTCACCATCATCATCATCATCATGGTCTGAAGATGATGATCATCAACATCACCGTGATCATGATCATTATCATCATCATCATCATCATGGTCTGAAGATGATGATCATCAACATCACCATGATCATGATCATTATCATCATCATCATTAACATTATCGTTTTTATCATCATATAACATTTTCATTATCATGATCATCATCACCTTTACTATCATGATCATCATCATGTTCATCATGATCATCATTTTTTACATGTCTATATAACTTCTCCCATTCTCAAATATATCATAAGACATAGACAGACCACCTTATTCGTCTTCGTGACGAATTAAATTTCTAGTTATTATTATTATTATTTATTTTTATTTCCTACACTTTTTTGTGCCATACATAACTCAAGTTCGGTTCAGTCAATTTCATTCAATTTTGGCACAGTCATAGGTCATTGCGATAAGACGTGACAGTAACCTTTTCAAGGTCATGAGGTCATCATGACGTCATCCAGGCGCCATTTTGTGAAATCACATTATCCATCATATCTTTATGATGCATAAACAAAGGTCATTCATATTCATATCACATATACTTCAGGTCAAGGGTCAACGAGTCATGTCATCAAAGGTCACATAAAGGTCATGACGCGCACGTACGCGCGCGTCAAAATTTTAAAATGCTCAAAATCACTTAACTATTAAAAGAGAGTACGAATCAGGTCATTTTAAGCATTTCAAAAATTTCCGTCCGTACTTGTCCCCGCGCGCGGTGCGCGCGCTCACAACGCGCGGAAAAGATCAAATTCAATTTGTTTACATTATTTAGATTCCTCCTACCGTAAATGACAATTTACATTAATTTCAGTCACTCTTGACCTTTCATAAGGCTGTGAGCGCGCGTCAAAGTTCAAATTCCGCGCGTGCTGCTATGGGCAATATAATGTAAATTTGATCAAAAACATGCTACTTTATAAAGCGAAATAGCTCTTCAGATAGTCCGTCGACCCCCAATTTTTATATCATGGTTGGAAAGAGCATGAGTTGGAGATATGATTTCATACCACCCTGACTCGTACAAAGTGAAATAAAATCTTCATATTTGCATCTAAACTAAAGAAAATGTATTTTGTTGATGACCTTATTTTTGTCTTTGTTTAATTGAGATTATCTCGCTTATCAGTGATCGATTTTCTCCCAGATTTCGATATGTTGTAGCTGAGATAATTCTCTACCAGAAATATGCCATTCATTTTTCATTTGAATGACGTCATCATAGTAAAATATTCGATTAAAGGCGACAATGCATAATTTGTCATATTTGCGTGTTACGTCTATGGGAGGTCACTTTTGTCAAAACATGTATCTGCATGACAATGTGTTTTGACCAGTATCTCGGTTATTATTCAACAGCTTTCTCCCCAATTTTAGTATGTTGTAGCTGGGACTATTTGCTATCTAAATACTTCCTTTTTCTTCAATCAGATGTCAGGATCATGCTCATGCATGCTCATCATCATCATCATCATCAATATCATCATCATCATTATCATCAATGTCACCATCATCATCATCATGGTCTGAAGATGATCATCATCAACATCATCATGATCATGATCATTATCATCATCATCATAAAAATTATCGTTTTTATCGTCATATAACATTATCATTATCATCATCATCATCACCTTTACTATCATGATCATCATCATGTTCATCATGATCATCATTGTTTACATGTCTATATAACTTCTCCCATTCTCAAATCTATCATAAGACTTAGACAGACCACCTTATTCGTCTTCGTGACGAATTAAATTTCTAGTTTCTAATTTTTTTTCTTCACAGAAGATCAAAACGTCCCGGTTCACTGTGCAATCTTCATCTGTGACTACAAGTGAGGACTGTTTCTGTCCCTCTCCCCCTCTCTCTCTCTCTTTCTCTCTATCGTTCTCTGTCTTTTGTTCACTGCCCGTCAGTAGGGTTACCGTGATGATCGCGGTTAAGCTACCGGTCGGGTAAGACGCTTAGACAGGCGGTTACTATCATAATTTTCGAACTAAATTATCCACCATTAGGCCCCCCCTCCCAAAAAAATAAAAAAAAAAAAAAAAAAAAAATGTTGTATTGCCCTTTGCGACCGACAAAACATTTTGAAATGTACGGTCGGCTTTATAAATCTTTTTTTTTACCGTTTTTTTAGGAAATAAATGTACTAAAGCATCGAAACTGAGAATTATCAGCCCATAGAAGGAGTACCAAGAAAAAGTTATAAATAAAAAAATTAAAATGATTTCCGACCGACCGACCGACCCATGTTTTGGCACCTAAAGGGCAGTACAACATCTTTTTGTTTAGGCCTTATGGAGAAGGGTCTACAGTAAATAACTGAAATGTTGGTAAATATTGGATCTATAGTAGGTGCTGATAATTTTACCACATTACGACACCGGTCATTGAAACAAAAATACATGAACTATCAGCCCTGGATCAGCCTTACAATAATAATAGTAGAATTTTACTATACGAAGAAGAAAAATATATCTTAAATAATAAGTTATGAACAGACGAGTTTACGTTATGCCAAAATAAAGGAATTATATGTGGTGTCACAATCTCACGTTCAAATATTTCTCTCATTCCAGGAAACGCAAGGGACGGTATGAGGAATTTATGAAGTTGTTGTCCGACGACGTGATCAGCTATTTCGGTATGATTCCACTTTTTACAGTGACATTTCTGCTTCTTAAAAGAGTCGCCCATTGTAATATGAGATTATAATTTGATAACAATTAAAACGATAATTTTTCACTAAAAAATTAAGTTTATAAATTCATGCTTTACAACAAGCCCAAAGTAAGTGTCTTATGTAGGAACTAATGCGACATCACACCGCCAAAGCGACCAATTCCTTGTAGGCCTATCTGGGTAACCTGTTTTTAGTTGTTGGTTGTTGAGTAGTTGTTAGTCTACCGTCGGTAATAGTGGAGAAGATAGTGGTAGTAGGAGTATTAGTATTATTAGACAAAAGTAGTAGTAGTAGTAGTAGTTGTAGTAGTAGTAGTAGTCAGGCGCGTACACAGGGGGGGGGGGTTCAAGAATCGGAAAGAAAACAGAACTCGAAAGCCCTCTATAGTTCATGGGCAGAGGAAAGGGAACAAATTATTAAAAAAATTAGATGGCAGTGGATAATGATGTTACGGGATGGCTATATGATTTAGGAAATGTGTGTTTGTTTGCTCTCAAGTTGAATTAAAAAAAGCGGTAAATGAGAGAAAAAATTAGTGAAAGTTTGAGGAAAATCAAATCGTGCAACCTAATATTGGGGTGGACTTCCCCTTTAATTATACTTCCTCTATAGTTTTAGATTATGAATCATATCCTTTTGCATTTGCTTTAATGTTCTTACTTGCAGGTAGAGGAATAATGCTGGGGATACCAAATACAGGTGACCTGGATGACGATGATGATAAAATTAAAAAAGAGATGGCCGAAACAATTGGAATACCAGAAAATCATGTTTGGATCTTCAAAAATTACACACTAGAGAGCCATGAGGAAGATGTGGACAGAAGTATAGAACTCCTTGATTTCATTTTGCATTGCCTAACAGTTGTAAAGGAAAACAAACAGTTTCGAAATAGCCAGAAAAAAAAAAAACAGAATCCAAATATCCAGACAGAGAACCAGCAGATTCCAAGTATCCAGACAGAAAACCAGCAGATTCCAAATATCAAGAAAGAAAACCAGCAGATTCCAAATATCAAGAAAGAGAACCAGCAGATTCCAAATATCCAGACAGAAAACCAGCAGATTCCAAATGTCAAGAAAGAGAACCAGCAGATTCCAAATATCAAGAAAGAGAACCAGCAGATTCTAAATACCCAGACAGAAAACCAGCAGATTCCAAATAAACAGACAGAAGACTGGGGCTGCAATATTATTTAAAAGATGAGGAATTGTTTTTGTATTAGATTTAAATATACATAGTAGTGAGTCCTCTTGATAGATAAAATGTGTATCTTCTCGGATCAATCTCAGAGTCATAGGATTGTTCAATACAGTTTTGAGAATATATATATTTTAGCTATCGGGAATAAATGACATTGTCATAGTAATTTCATGAAAATAGGTAAGACAAATTTATTTCAACATTATGGCAACAAAGTATTTTTTTGTATTTTTTATGAAAATGCCACCGATTGAATATGTAATTTAAAAGATACATTTAGATGTGGATATGATTAGCAGACTCGCAATGTCTTTTAGACGTTTCAGGAACAACAAATCCAAATCAGCTCCGATTCGGTGATCAGACAGTCGGGAGACTAAAGCAATATCTATACGACACGTTATTGATTGACACCCCCTTCCTACTCGAAGGCTCCTAGTCAAAACACACTGTAATTAATGTTATTATTATCATATTGAAATTCATTCGGGAGTGATTTCTACTCTGGATATGAATATCTAATAACTTTTTTCCCCACAAATATTCAGCCTTATTAGGTGGCACGCCGTGCGTTTGCCTAAACACACAGAATAATATTCGGTTAAATTAGTTTGCGAACGTGGTCATCTTATCAAAGGGAATTTTTTTTTCCAGTGAAATAATGATATATATATAATTTCTTGTAAATAGCTAACTGGTAAAATATAATTTTGCTTTAACTTGTCAATCAGAAAGCACATTAAGATAAAATTGTGTAATAGTTTTTCCATAGAATTTTAACTGAAAGAAAGTTTGCGGGGCAGCTGTGATATTGCGTTCTTTCACAGGAAATCGATAAAATTCATCGTTAAATCATGGAAGATTATGTGGACTGAACGAGAAATATGAGCACATATTTGTCTTCGAGAGTCATTTACTGCAGTATTTTTGGCCTCAAGAAGTCATCTTGTATAACTTTGCTGGAGAATTTAACCGACTCTGTAAATGTTTACTTCGTACGGCTGTGTTTACGTCAGCGTCACATAAGCGTTCTAGTAAGCCATCACAAACTTCAATATTGAACCTTTTTTGTGAATCTTTCATTTGACATTTTATCTGTAATACAGTACTGATATAACAACGATATATACCGATCCAACAGATATTTGATATAGCGCCTTTTCATTGCGGTTACAAAGCGCTGACCACACCGCTCCACATTGTATAAACCATACTCATGACTTTCATTTGGACATTTGTGGACTTCTGCATCATGATTCTATATTAAAAGTGTTATCTGTGACCTAGTGTATTTGGTGTTAGGGAACTGTCTATCATTTCATCAAAGCTACTTTATCAATAAAGGATAATAATCAGCATACCATCTGAGAAGATGAAACTTTATTTTTGTGTTCCGAAGGGTCTACAATCAGCATCTTTATATTATTCTCGTACTTATAATTTTTCATCAATCAACGAATCATGGGATTAGCCCAAATTGCAGCAGTTGACGCCGACAATGATTACCCTAAAGAGGAAAGTAAAACTCACTATATATGAATAAAAAGAATTTCTTACATAAAGTATTTTGTAAAAGAAGCACTAAATTAAATGAAATCATGAATAAATAGTTAAAAGCAATCTTAAAAGTATCTCGTAAAATGTATCATTGGGAATCGTTAACGAAGAGTAATCATAATCTTAGAAGAGTTTGGCAAATTATAAACGATTCAATATGTAGACAAATAAGCGAAATTATAGTATTAAAAATGCTTATATAGATTTGTTTTAATGAAGATATAGTAAATGAATGCAAAATTTATTTTCACATATTGACGTTTGTTAATACCTTGAAACAAATATACATATTTCTAGATTTTTTTTTAGTTATTTTCTTAAAAATCCATGTCTATCATCAATTGATTTTACGGCAAAGTGGCATAACATCAACAAGTATTTCCGCGTTGTATAATGATAAATGTTATATATTACGTGCAGAGCGTTTCAAGGGATAGATTTGTTTGTGTTTGCTACATTTTTTTCGGTTTTATTCATGTTGTGGTGTATTTGATGTACTAAGTTCAATTATGTACTAGAAAAGGTCAGATTATATCATGCGGTATGCCCCGGCGGGGGAGGGAGGGGCTATAAATGTTCTTTACTTCTTAGCCTCTCTCTTTCCATTTAGTGTCGGCCTGATGGTCGTATCGTCTGTGCGGTCGGGGTATTTATTATACAGAAGTAGCATGCTATGTTTTTGTTAATGTTACACTGAAATGTGAAACCACAAGATTGTAAGTGCGAAACAATATAATTATTCATTATTTTTCTGCAAAAAGTTGTAATGCATATTTTTGTAAATCATTGTGTTTTCTGACCAATAAATCTTATCAAGATAAAAAACAACTAGACATATAATACTTGTTTGGAACAAGTATAGGTGGGCTGGTCAACTTAAATTTGAGACAAAATAGAGCAAAAATAAGCGACATACTGCTTACAAATTCTTAAAAAACAATATCATGTAGATTCATAACGTGAACTAAATTCACCTTCTATAGGCATAACACGCAAATTATGAAGTTTTTGACATGAGGCCTTTAATCAAAATTTTCACTATGATGACGTCATCAAAATGAAAAATGGTTATTATTGCCCTTGTAGAGAATTGTCTTAGCTACAACATATCGAAATTTTGAAGAAAATTAATCAATATTTACAGAGATACAATCAATTTTACATAAATATGCTGACGTCATAATATGCAAATTCGTATTTTGAGTTCCAAGGCCATTGTGATGATGTCACGATACACTTAATGGCCAAATGAGACATGAATCATATTTCCGACTCATACTCTATCTAAATATGAAAAAAAATTGAGGATCCCGGTGCATTCCAAAGAGCTATAACGGATTTTGTATAGGCATGTTTTTGCCCATATATGCTATGTATTAAAAGAGCTCGCGCGCACTGACATTTATCTTGAATTTACGCTCATCTTGTTAATAATGGTCATAAAGAGATAAACATGGTATCAAATTCCTTGAAAAAATATGAGAAATATCATAAAAGAAAAAAAAATGGCGATTCTATGTTTTGTAATGGTGTTACGCGCGAAAACGCGCGTGCATGCTCGTACGCGCGATTTTTTATAAAATGCTTAAAATGACCTGAAACGTATGCAAAATAAATTTGAGAAGATTTTGAGCATTTTAAAATTTTGCGCGCGCAAGGACGCGCGGACGTACGCGCAAGCGCGCGTTTTTTTAACTGAAATTAACCGGACTGATAATGACCTTGATCATGATAAATATAAATTAGAAATGACTTTTGGTTATAAAGATATGATCATGAGTTGATTTTTACAAAATGGCGCTTAGATGACGTCATCAGTCAAGGTCAAGGTTGAAAACGTTATTTTGATTTTTCTATATGCCTTTACATGTGTGTGCCAAATTTGAAAGCATTTGATTGAACCAATTTCAAGTTATCTTGCTCACAAAAAAGTGGTTCGAAATAAGAAAAATAAACTAGATTTGTAATACTTGTTTGGAACAAGTATAGGTGGGCTGATCCAACAAAAAATTGAGACAAAATAAAGGGTACATTTAAGATAGCTTTTTGTCTCAGCTACAACATACTCGAAGTTCAGCGTAAATGAAGCTAAAACGACGTAGATATTGCTCGCGAAAGACGGGAATGTAGAATCGAGTTTTGAGAAAAAATCATGTCCCATAGAGAATACACGCAAAATGTGAAAATTGACATGCCTCCTTTAATCACAAAAATACGCCATGATGCTTTTGTCAAAATTAACAATTGTTATGACTTCATTTGTAGTAAATTGTCTCAGCTAGAACATTTCAAAATTTAGAAGAAAATCAATCACTATTTACAGAGATACAATCAATTTTCCATAAATATGCTGACGTCATAATATGCAAATTGAAATTTTGAGTTCGGAGGCCATTATAATGACGTCATGAGTTAATTGAAGGTCAAATGTGACATGAAACAATATCTCCGAATCATACTCTATCAAAATATGAAAACAAATTGGGGTCACCTTGCATCCTAAAGAGCTACAATGGATTTTGTATAGGCATGTTTTTGCCCATATATGCTATGTATTACAAGAGCTCGCGCGCACCGAGATTTATGTTAAACGGTCGATCATTCCGTTATTAATAGTCATAAAGAGACAAACATGGTATCAATTTGTTTTTAAATATATGTGGAATATTATAAAAGAAAAAAAATGGTGATTCTATGTTATGTAATAGTTTTACGCGCGAAAACGCGCGCGCATGGGCGTGTGCGCGATTTTTTATAAAATGCTTAGAATGGCCTAAAACGTATGCAAAATGATTTTGAGACGATTTTGAGCATTTTAAAATTTTGCGCGCGCATTGACGCGCGGACGTACGCGCACGCGCGCATTATTTGAGCTGAAATTAACCGGACGGATATTGACCTTAATCATGATAAATATGAATGAGAATTACTTTTTGGTTATGAAGATATGATCATGAGTTGATTTTCGTAAAATTTTACAAAATGGCGCCTAGATGACGTCATCAGTGAAGGTCAATGTTGAAAACGTTATTGTGCTTCGTACATATGCCTATACATATGTGTGCCAAATTTCAAGGCATTTGATGGAGCCATTTTCGTGTTATTTTGTTCACAAAAAAGTGGTTAGAAATAAGAAAAATATTTAATAATAAATAAAGGCAATTCTAACGAAATTATAAGGTGGTCTGTACTATATACAGCCCACCTGATAATAAAGGCAATTTTAACAAAATTATAAGGTGGTCTGTATTAGATACAGCCCACCTAAAAATGATTTTTATCCAACAAACGATCAGTGATCATTAAAATTGTTGAACAATTAACAAAAAATGGCATTCCTGTATTTCAAAAAAACTTATAAACACTAATTTTTGTAATTATTACCTTGTAACCCACTTTCGCTAAAATCATGCAAAAAATTGTTTATAAAACACTAATT